TCATTTTCGGGTGAGTTATGTCAACTCATTTATCACTCGTTTATTATTTTAAACAAAATTAATATAGTAATAGATTAATAATTATTCAATTTTTTTAGTTAGAATAATATATGTAATTTAATAATTATATCAGTTAAAAAATTATTATTTTTATAATAATAAAAGATTTTATTAAACAGATTAAATGAGTCATGTCTGATAATTCGTTTAATAAACGAATTGTGTTCATTTTATAGATTGCCGCTTGTTTAATCAAACAAATTATGTATGGGTTGAACAAATTTTCACACAAATTTAATTAGATCTAACATCAACTTGCTTAACTCGACACGGTTGACACATTTACATGTAACTCCCTACTTCTCCATGTAGTCTTACTTATCCCTATCTTTTTCGAACATCACTTTATAATGTTTCAAGTCTCAATTTCTCTCATCTTCCTTTCTCAAACTTGGTAAGTTTTAGATAAACCCCTATTTCTCTCTCTCCCTCTCTCTCTCTCTCTCAAACCTAAATGGACAAATCATCTAATACACTTTGTAAATCTTGTTTTTGCAATCACCGGGATCACATAATTTTTCAAACCAAAATTTCCAACCATTATTAGTTTTTTTTTTTGTAGACCAAGTTATCTCAATGTGAGTATATCTATTTTTAGCAACACTTTCTATCATTTTTATTTTTTTATTCAATTTTATTTTCATAATTTTGTTCTTCATTGATATAAGAACATATTTTATACAAAATACAATTTGAAATGATCTATTTCTTTTTTTCTTAAATCATGCATTGCATGGATGAACGCTAGTACATAATATATAGTAATGTAGCTGGCTTGGATGAGCTCCAAAAACTCATCCCAATTTGTCTTGAATTTTTTATTTTTTAAATTGTCAAATTGAATGTGACTTTATGTCATTTTGCCCTTTTTGAATAAATTAATTCTTCATTAATAGGATAACTTCAAAAATTTCTCAATTGTCTCAAGTTTCTCTTGCATCATTTTTCCCTTTCCGGTCTCTTTCACACGCACATATTCTCTCTCTTTTAAATCTATATACGCGTTATATTTTTTTTCCTCTCGTCAAGTATTAGATTTTTTAAAATTTAAATTATTTAATAATAATATATTGATCTTATCAAGTTAAATCATCTCATGTAGCTCATGTAACTACTTCCATGAAATTATTTTAAATTTAAATTTTTTATCCTCCTTAATTTAGTACAATAATAAATAATTTTTTTAAAATATTAAAATGAGGTTGGTATGCGAGTAACAATAAGTGGGTGACGATAGTGGTAATAGAGGTGATAAAATTGTGATAAGAGATTGAAAATACATTACATTCTACAGGTCGCCACTGATATTATTTTAAATAAAAGGTGAAATTATAGTTTCATAAAAATATACTTCTTGCTTTCATAGCATTCAAATACATTTTTTTATCATGGTTAAAATATAAGTAGGTAATTAAAATATTTAGTTTGGTTAAAATATATATTATAATTAAAAAATGAATATGATTAAACAAATAAATTATAAGATGAATGATCGAATCTCATCCTGTACTTAGACAGCGCCCCTCATGAACTCCATGTAAAGAGCGTCAATTACAACAGGTGACGAAGAAGATAGAGAGTTAGCTACGGACTAGGCGTGCTTTTAGCAACATGGCTGGTTTTGGAAGGCAAAGCACAGACCACTCAGCCACCCCGTCACCCCCCTGCTAGACCCTTCGTCCATTTTCGTCCCATGGTCTCGAGCTCAGATGCTCCCCTTCTCATCCCTCTTCTTCTTCTTGTTCCTCCTCCTCCTCCTCCTCCTCCTCCATCTATTCCACTTTTGGCCCTACCACTATCCCAGAAGGGCCCCACAAACCACCACCAACACTACCACCGACAAAAACATCGGTGTTTTCCTTGTCAAATGTCATAAAAGGTACATTTGTTATATGTGTTCCTTTTCTGGGTATCAGTAATTTGTGGTCGTGGGTGTGTGTTCTTTTTGTCTTGTGTGTTATGGAGTCTGGAAAGAGGGCACATATGCTTTTCCTAAGTGTTCATCCTTTTACAACTCAGACCCAATTGTTTTTCTCTCTGCTATTAAGATAATGCTCCCAAAAAGGGCCTTTGATTGCGCTGTGAATCTTTCCATTGCATGCTGCATTCAAAATTTTGTCGTTTCTCAATTGGGTTCCACAAATCAAGTTCCGGACACTTCTCTCTTTCTCTCTATTCTTATGGGACAGAGATACTGAGAGGAAATTGGGGAGAGAGTTGGAATGATGAGAGGTTGAATTATCGGGGAAAAGCATGGGTTGGTGCAATGATTTGTTTAACTTTTCCATCATGCCACTGCTTTTTTGCTTTTTCCTTTCGGTTAGAAAGGGTGGGAGAATCTAATTTCTTTCATTTTGTCTCTGATGAGATTAAGGCGTAGACAATGCATTCCTTCTTGCTCTTCTCACCACAGAGTAAGCTTATTCCTCACTCCATCACAGTCTTTCATTTCTTAAAGACACTGCTTATTTTTTTCAGTGTCTGACTAAATCTTGGTTAAATTGCAGAAATTTTGATGATTTTAAGCTTATTCATTAGCTCACAATGTGTCTTTCTGCCAACATTTTGAAATGTTTCTGCTTATCCATTGGCATTTGTTAATGCTGCTAAATAATGTAATGGATTTTCTCTCAAAATTTGATTTAGTTTTGGAATTAGCTCATCTTCACTATATGTGATGAATTGTGCAAGATAGATGATCATCAATCTCATCTAAGATGCCCAAGAGATCATAATCTATATTGCATGAATTTTTCCCCACATCATAAATGCAATGAGTGTCTGAAATTTGATGCAACCATTTGTTGTTGATAGTCTTTTCCACTTAAAATAAGTGACTGGCATTTTAGTCCGAACTATATGTAGCTCAAGAATTACAATACCTTGAGTGATCATTTATGTCATAAATGAGATACCTGAAGGGTAAAATCTGTTTCATCATCTCCCGAGTTCATTTGCAACCAAAGTCCTTGATAGCCCAAACTTTTGGTAATAAGTTTGCATACTTTCAACTGTGTCCTAAATATAAATTTTTTTTTTTTGGGGAGGTTGAGGAGGAGGGAGAGGGGAACTTAAATCCTTAATCTTAAGGAGGCAAAGCCTTTACAAGACAAGGAGTATTATTGGACCAAAAGCCCATTGGTGTGCTTTGTCAAATAAGGGTGCCTATCTTGTGGTATATCTATATCTGGTGTATATTGTGCTTCATAAATGCCACTGTGCTACGGAATTATACTTACCCTCGGTCTGAAAATTATGCTCTTAGCCCTTTTTTTGCTCACTCTGTTTTCCTATTCTTCTTGCCGAATTTGGTTTTCCATTTTTACTTGCTAAAATTTTTATTTTGTCTAATAATGTTGTGAATCCTGGAAAAACAACTATCTTTTGTCTCAATCCTCTTAATTGAATTGGATATCATCTCTTCATTTTTAAACAATAGATACTATAATGTTTGGCCAGGTTATCGTGCCAGCTAACTTGAAGATGCCTATCACGCCTGTTATGAATTTAGTTTTTTACTTATGGTGACTTTTGGATTCAGGTTGATGAAGATGAAGTTTATTGGAGACAAAAGAAGGGTGATGAAGAGTCGGCATGGTCACATAGTTCTCCTCACTTAAAATCACAGTTATCTCAGTGTTTTAGTGAGTGAAAATTACTAATACTCTGTTACAGCACTTCCTGCTATATTCAATTTTATTTCTCTCTCGGTCTCTCTGTTTGTTGATACATGTTTGTGTGCTAAGTTTCCTAAATTTGAATTCATTTTGCAATCTGACCAAAAAAAAAATTAATCATTTTCAATGTCTTTTTTTCCTTTCTTATGTAAGGGGGTTTGGTGTTTCTTGCACCTTAATTTCTAGATGTTGAAATAGGAGTGGGTAGGCATAGAAATATATATTTTTAGAGAATGAGGCAAAGATATTTAATAGTTGAGGCAACTGCAGGAAGAAAAAGCCTTATATCTGAAAGTGTTTATTCAATAAGAGGTGCTTCAACCACTCATGTTTTAGTGAATGTGCAGTCTGTTTATGTTGTGTGGTACTTTCAATTCTCAAGAGGGGCAGACTTGTTATTTTGTGTCAAAATATAAACTTGAAGGGATATAATCTATATAAGCGAAATGTTGCATGTTTCCTAACTCCTTTAAGATCCAAATTGGTGAAACCTATGATACCTTGCTTGTGTGAAAAGCAATTCAAACAATGCCAGTACATATGGTAATCAAAGGGACACTCTAGAGTTTTGATGTTTGAATGATATTCAGCAAACTGTTTGTTAACAATGGTACGAAATGAATTTCAAAACTACTAAGATTATTTTCTTTATTACATCTTTGTATTGTTAGCTTTATTGAGAACCTGATCTATTGGTCTTTTGTTTTTTTCTCTTAAATATTTTATATAATGTATCTGCGCGGTGTTTACCTTTCTTCGAGGGTGGGAAGATATTTTGAGTTAATAGCTCATTCTAAAATGTTTAGAAGATAATTTTGATAATTAAATAAATGACATTCTGCATCCTTTTAAGTTGCTGACTGCAATCCTTGATAAATAATTAGGTGCAATCATTTGACAATGAGATTATTCTGTTTCCGTATGCAACTTTGGCCATATCAAGGGTATCCTTGGCAGAACAGATTTACTTTATCATACCCAAAAGTCATTGCCAAATTATCCAAAGTTCTGCTTTGTCTCTTCATTTGCCTGTCTGTGCTGATGACTATTGCATAGTTTTCATCAATTTTGTAAAGAAACAAATGAAACGGACATTCTGTGGTCTCATGGTCTGTCTTCTTCTGTATCTAGAGCCTGAATCCGAATAGTGACTTGTATTTAATTGCGGCAAGGGTGCTTTAGTCTTACTGACAAAAGAAAAAAAGAAGCAACTCATATGAAGTTCAAAGTGCACGCATCTAATCCTTCTAAGACCACATAACTAAATGTCCTAACCAATATCAATGTCATTCCATTTCACCCAAAATCATTTTACTCATAACTGTTTGGTGGCTGTAGCTAGTGCTATGGTTGGACCACGAGCATGGATAGGAGGAATCTTTAGCCGTTCAAGCAATAAACGGTTCGGAAGTGGAAAATTTTTTGACTTCCCTTTGAGTCCTCTTCAGGTAAGTGATCTATCATAGATGTTGATCTGTTGAGCGGTAGATGTTAATCAAGTGATAGGGCTTCTTGGATCCAATTGTGTATTGAGTTGTGGCCTCTCCTCTCGCTCATGTGAACTGAAAGGTAATATGCATGTTAGTCTGATTCGTTACGTCTTCTGCTGCCTTCTTTTTGAAGGCTTTCAATTCGAACTAATCAAGTTCAAACAGTTCCGGGAATCATTTAATCCTCTTGTGGCTAGGATTGTCATATCAGTGATACAGCCAAGTTTGTCAGCCTAAAAGAACTCATACTTTCCAATTTCCTTACAGGAACAAGGACTTCGAAGGCTTCAAGCTCGATTACAAGTACCTTTTGATGAGACACGTCTTGATCATCAAGTATTCCTCCTGGCTTGTTTGAATCCTTTTCTTGTTTGTTGTGCTAAAGAGTTGATATTGATAAATCTTCACTAATTGCCAAGTATATGACCTTCTAATTTGTGGGCAAGGAGCCTGAACTTTTTGAGAATTTTCTAACTCTTCTTTCTACCATATAACTTATGGAGCAGCTATGTTTTGCCTCCAGTGCAAAACTGTAACAGCAGTTTTAGGAGTGACTGACTGGTTTATTGTGCATAACATTGCATATATTTTCTATTGGCTTGTGGTTTTGCAAATGGAGGTGCATGGTTCCAACTGTCGGCGTTGTGTCCACTCTTTGATCTCATTATTCATTCCCACTGACAGGAAGCTCTTAGAACATTGTGGAAAGCTGCCTTTCCAACTGTTAAACTTAAAGGATTGATCTCTGAGCAGTGGAAGGATATGGGGTGGCAAGGTCCAAATCCATCAACAGACTTTAGGTACTGTTCTGCATTAGTTTTTACGTGCCTGTTTGAGTTAGACATGCTGGTCCCCAGTCAAAGAAGCAACTGGCTGTCAGGAGTACATAAGGAGGCTTAAGAATCCAGTAATGCTGGACTAACTAAGATTTGAGTTTTGACTACTTTTTATAATCATCTATTGTAGTCCTTAGTTGGTCATGATGTGAAAGGAATTTACTCCACTGTGTCTACAAACAAGTATTTCATATCAGTCCATTTTTCCTTTTTCCAGACAATGAATCTGTTCTGCTGTGCTTGGTGGATTGTTTTTAAACTTGCATGGAAAGGTCGGCCATTATTTTTGCCACCATCTACTGTGTTCTGCTGTACTTGGTGGATTGTTTTTAAACGTGCATGGAAAGGTCGGCCATTATTTTTGCCATCATCTAGCGTAGTGTTTTATCTACATTGGTGGCTCTTCTCTAAGAATTAAATTATTTTGCAAATGACCTGCAGGATTAATGAAATTTAAAAAAGTTTCAGTTCTGCTTAGTTTTGTAGTGGAAAAAAATAGGTATGGAGGTGCTGTATCATTCAGAAACCAACTTTCCACACCAACAACTAGTTGCGTTAAGCTCAAACCAATGATTGAATAGCGTCTCTTTGTCTGAGCCTTTTTGTGATAATTAGAAGTAGCTCCTACGAAAATAAGGATGGAATGATTGCATCTTCAAAGATATTGAAAACACTCGGATGAAATTTGGTTGTGCATACTATGCAAGAACCTGTCTTGTGTCTGAACAAGAAAAGTGCAAAATACGAATTTCTGAAGAGATATAACCATTGTATCTTTTTCGTTTTTACTTAAACATATTTCAATTTCACAAGTATCCTGTCTCATTGTTTATTACTGTCAATAGGGGTTGTGGTTTCGTTTCGCTCGAGAATTTGCTGTTTTTTGCAAGGATTTACCCGGTATGCCTGTTTGGCTCCCACAGGGAGTCCTGACCTGGATTCATTTGGTTTTACTGTTTTCTTGTATTCTATTTATTATTTTTATTCCCTCCTTTTATGTTGGGACAAAGGCGAGTAATTACTAATTGTTATACAATCCAAATGAAGGCTTCTTTTCATAGGTTATTGTTCAAGCAAGGTGGGAAGCGAGCAACATGGGAATACCCATTTGCTGTTGCAGGCATTAATGTATCATTTATGTTGATTCAGATGTTAGATTTATACTCAGGTACCATGTTTTAAAGTACTTGTTATCTGCTTTCCATCTCTGACCAAAATGGTTTTTTTTTTTTTTTGGGGGGGAGGGGGGGGGAAGGGGGCCATCAGGACAATACCTGAAATGAAATCATCCTATTTTTGTTCCTCATGTTATTTAGCTGAGCATTTGTTTTGTGTATCTTTTAGTTTTGACTGAATCTTTAAGACTTAGAATTCTAGTAGTCAAGTTTTCAGGAAAATTATTTTGTTATTCTAGCTGATGGTTTTTGAAGTAGAATCTATATATTCAAATGCTACCAAAAGTGAAGTCAGATGAACCCGCATAGGTAGTCTAGCAATGTGGAGTTGAATCTGGGAGTGCTTTCTGCTGATACATCTTATGTTCAGTCGCGCTGGTGACTCTTGGGTGTAGCCAATACCTATGTGGCAGCCTTTCTTATTACTAGGAAAAAAGGATTAAAGAGATTGAAGTGATGATTTGAGTTTCAAGGGTAGTCCAAAATGTCCATTGATCTTTTTATTTGGACTGCATTTTCTATTTATGGTCAATTATAACTGCAACCTAAACTGCACAAGAGTCTTGAGTTTCTTGCTCTTTTGTATGCTTACCAGTTTATCTTATTTATCTAGTTTAGGCATATTGATATTTTCCCATAACATTTGAAGAAACAACAAAGTAATGAATAAAAGGAGATCTCTATTTATTTTTATTCTCTTTTCTTTGACAGCAAAACCTAGATGTCTTCCAGGAATCAATTTTGTTAAATTATTAGGAGGTAAGAACTTGTGCTATTAATTGGGTGATCTTAAACATTTTGATTTTTGGATACTCCTTTTCGGTGCCATCTTTGCTATTACATGGTAATTTATGACAATTGCAGAAGATGAAGAAGCCTTTGACGTTCTATATTGTATAGCTTTTGAGATGATGGATGCTCAGTGGCTTGCCATGCATGCTTCATACATGGAATTTAATGTACTCTCTCTCTCTCTAAGCAATTTTGATAAATTTTTTTAGAAACTCATTATGATGCCTCTCCTGAATCAGTAATGCTTCATGTGTCTGTGGATATTACAAGCCGCCATACATTATTTCTTTTACCTCTTCTTCTTAGCATTTGAAGAATGNTCATTATGATGCCTCTCCTGAATCAGTAATGCTTCATGTGTCTGTGGATATTACAAGACGCCATACATTATTTCTTTTACCTCTTCTTCTTAGCATTTGAAGAATTCACGGATCCATTCACTTGCATGGAATCATGTCTTGTTGCAAGCACCCAGCCAAAGAGAAATGGAAAGGAAAAAGAAACTCCCTGGTGCAAAACAAAAAATAAATTACAACCAACATGTACTGCAGTACACATGCTGCATTCTTTGGTGAGCTTAGATGCATCTTCACACTAAATAAGGATAAAAAACATTTTCTTATAAATCTTGAAGAAATAAGTTTCCCCAAGGCTACATCAGGTGTTCATAAAATAAGAGCTTGGTTGACCTCTCAGGTGTCTCACCGATGCTGTGCTTGCTGCCTAAAAAAGGTGATTTGTCATTAACTTTTATATTTGTTTCTCTTGGAGGTTGACTCTGTTTTGCTGATGCCACCCTTTATGAGAATAAGATGGTGCCTTTATTGCAGTGACATGCAGAAACAATTGGCCGCACACATCATTTATCTTGATCTGTAATCCATTTAAATAAGTCCTGGAGAATTGTAAGTTATGATTATTGTTTAGTATTTCATATGTGGAAATCCCACATTGGATAGAAAAATAAGTTAAAAGTGTCCTAAGATACTTGATGGGCTCACCACCTATAGACTTAAGCTTTTAGGTGGGTATGAGCTCCAAACATGTATATTGGGTCTTAAATCATTGGTCTCCTAATCTTCTAACAAATGGTATAAGAACCAATGAATGAGGATCTTGAGTGAATTCTCAAATGTAGCACACTGGTATTAATGATGACTCGTAAGAAAAGTGATGGGCTCTTGATATTAAAGTCACAAAAATGCAACTCAGGAAAAGAGTAGGACACGGACTGGGCGCAAGTGATCTTGGCAGAGTGAACTCTTGAAGAAGCGATGTAGGATAGTAGTATTAATGATGACTCTTAAGAAAAGTGATGGACTCTTTGTATTGAAGTCATGAAAACACAATTCAAGAAAAGAGCAGGGTGCAAGCTTCGATGCAAGAGCTCTTGGTAGAGTGGTGATACGGTAACTCATAAAGAACGATAAAAATTTGGTTCTTAGAAGAGCAGGCTCTTGTAAAGAGTGGTTGGATGCGATACTTGTGAAAAATTTTGGATTAGACTCAAAGAGGAGTTAGGCCTAATGTGTTTCACATGAGGGGGAGATTATTAGGTATTACATATGTAGAATCCCACATCAAATAGAAAAAATAAATAAAAATATTCTAATGTACAATGGATGAGCTCACCACATATAGGCTTAAGCTTTTAGGCGAGTATATGAGTTCCACAAATTGTATATTGGGTTTTGGATTATTGAACTTTTAGTCTCCGAACAAATGAGATCAGAGCTGATGGTTGACGATTCTGAGTGAACTCTCGAAGAAGCGGTGTAGCGTGCCAATACCAATAATGGCTCTTAAGAAAAATGATGGGCTCTTGGTATTGAAGTCATGAAAAACGCAATTATGGAAAAAGGAGCAGGGCACAATGCCAGGGTTCTTGGTAGAGTGGTAATGCGGTGACTCATGAAGTGCAGTAANAATGAGATCAGAGCTGATGGTTGACGATTCTGAGTGAACTCTCGAAGAAGCGGTGTAGCGTGCCAATACCAATAATGGCTCTTAAGAAAAATGATGGGCTCTTGGTATTGAAGTCATGAAAAACGCAATTATGGAAAAAGGAGCAGGGCACCATGCCAGGGTTCTTGGTAGAGTGGTAATGCGGTGACTCATGAAGTGCAGTAAAAAAAAACTTGGTTCTTGGAAGTGCCGACTCTTGAGTGGTTGGACGTAGAAAGTGATGAATTAGACTCAAAAAAGAGTTAAGCCTGATGTGATTGATTCATGAGGGGGAAATTATTGGATAGAAAAATGAGGTAAAATAATCTAAAAATATTGTTGAGGAGCTCACTACCAATAGATTTAAGCTTTTGGGTGGGTATTAGTTTCAGGCATGTATATTAGGCNAAAACTTGGTTCTTGGAAGTGCCGACTCTTGAGTGGTTGGACGTAGAAAGTGATGAATTAGACTCAAAAAAGAGTTAAGCCTGATGTGATTGATTCATGAGGGGGAAATTATTGGATAGAAAAATGAGGTAAAATAATCTAAAAATATTGTTGAGGGGCTCGCTACCAATAGATTTAAGCTTTTAGGTGGGTATTAGTTTCAGGCATGTATATTAGGTCTTGGATTATTAGGCTCCCAGTCTCCCAACAAATGGTATCAAAACCGATGCTTAATGGTCCTAGATGAACTCTCGAAAAAGTAGTTTAGCGTGCTGGTATTTATGATAGCTCTTAAGAAAAGTAATGAACACTTGGTATTAAAGTCATGAAAACGCAACTTGTGAAAAGAGCAGGGCGCAAACTTGGGTGATAATGCAGTGACTCATAAAGAGTAATAAAAATTTTGGTTCATGGAAGAGTGGGTTCTTACAAAAAAATGGCTGGACGCAGTGCTTGTGAAGAATTGTGGATCATACTCAAGTAGAAACTAAACCTAATGTGATTCACACATGAGTGGGAGATTGTTGGGTATTACATATATGAGAATCTCACATCAGATAAAAAAATAAATTGAATCATTGGGCTTTCAATCTCCCAACAATTACGCTATGTAAAATGTAGCCTATTTGGAAGTTGGTTAGTAACAGATAAAAATGCACCAAAACCCAAGTTTTTTATGAAATACTTTTCTTGCAAAGCAAATTGGCCCTTTTTTGCACACATGTTCTGCATGCTTGTACTGCACCCTCATAACTTTTATGTACATCATCACTTCAAGTAGCTATATTATTGAACCAAACTGGCTTTAGCCTAATTGGCCACCTTGGATTGATTTCCTGTATCCCCCTCTTTGGTGGTTCTATCAGTTGTTTCCTCTTTTGGGCTTCTTTTCATCCCCTCTCTGTGTGTTTTCTTCAATGTGATAGATGCATTATTCGAAGGTTGCAATTGTCAATCATTGATAATAATAGTGATCTGTTGATGTATATGAAAGAAGTAATGTATTATTAGCCTGCCTGAATTTTCCTACATACTATGAATTCCTCCTCCCCTCTCGAAACCAAATTTTGTTAAGTTCCATGTTCATTGTATTTATTTTCTGAAATATTCTCGAAGTTTCTTTCAGGATTTTGATGCTTACCACTGGCTTTTAAAAGTACTTTCCCTCGTAGTTTCTTTCTCAGAAGCTCTAAGGTTACTTAATTTTTACCAATTTCATTCTCAGGAGGTTTTACAAGTAACAAGGACACAATTGGAGAGGGAACTGTCTTTAGAAGATATTCACCGAATACAAGATCTGCCAGCTTACAACCTGTTGTATCAGTAATTCTGCTCATAAGCCTCTCCCGACAACCCACAGAAATTTTGCCTGTGAAATTTGGTGAGAATTTAGAATGCAGAGGAGTATTTTCAGAAAAGACTACTGGGGATCTTAAATGTAAGTTCATTTATGCCTACTTTTGAGAGTTTGCAGGGGAAGGATGTGTACTATGTGGACTCTCATTGCCTAATGGCATTGAGGCTGGGCTTCATGAACTTCATTTTCCTCTTATAAAGCCAGCTGTTGACAAATCCAACAATTGATTAGATGATCTTATCTCAAAAAAGGGTGGTCTGGTGCAGAAGGCTCCTGCTATTGCGAGGTCTGGTCAGGGTTTATTTGGTTCTACAGTGAAAGATGGCTTCCGAATGATAGCCTGCATAAAGTAGGAAGTTTCAATTGTGGTACTGTTACTGATTCTAGGAGCCATCTCAGAATATACAGGATTTCTCAGTATTTACCATACTCATCAACTGGGATAAAAAGTTGAAAATTTGAATGTGAAATGGTGCTCAAATCTTTGTTCCAGACAAGTTTTGGTAGGCATTAGTACCTTTTCTTTTAAATGAAGAACAAGTTTGGGTTATTTAGTGAATTTTTGTATTAGCATTTTAGAAGTTACATCTGCAGTGTTTGCCTTCACTGCATATGCTATCTATACCAAAAAATTTAACATAATTTATCGATCTAAAGATATGGTTTTATTGGAACTATTAGATCAATACCAAGTTTCAAAGATTAATAGATTTCCTAGTCAATCCACTTCCCCCTCCGCCCTCTCCCTTTCATCTGATTTGAGTTGATAACTCATTATGCTTTTGAACTCGAGTTTATGATATCAATCCTTNGAACCGCTCCACCACTATCGCCCCTACAGCCCCACCACCATCACCGTCGTCACCCCCATCACCACCTGTGCCACAACAACCACCACCTCCACCACTGTCGTTGCCACTAACACCACCGTTGCCGCCACTCTATCACCACCATCACCAACACTACCACTGTCACTATCTCCGTTATCACCGTCGTCATTACCACCACCACCCTCCACCGTCGTCGCTGCCCCACCACCATCGCCACCTACCACCGATTGTTATTATTATCATCCACCGCCACCACCCATCACAATTTTCATCTCATTCTTATTTTTATTATCATTATCACTGTCGTCTATCATCAACACCCACCCACTACCATTGTTGCTCATCATCACCCATCGCTGCCCACTATCACCACTCATCATTGCCCATCATCGCCGCTCGTCATTGTCACTCACCCCCATCAAACTTACCATCACCAACCGCCACCATTAATCATCATCGCTCACCACTATCACCCACCCCCGTACAACATCTACCACCGTTATTTACCACAACTCATCACATTATCGTCTAAAAGCACCCGTCGTCGTCCACCACCTCCATCGTCACTGTCCCACCATCGTCGTGGCCCCCACCACCACTACTACCAACCATCATCACCATCGCCCGCAACTACTATCGTCGTCACTCATAATTGTCACTATCTCCATCATCACCAAAAATCCACCACCAGTATCACCATTGTCACCCATGATTGCCACCATCACCACAATCGTCGCCACGCACCACAATCATCATTGTCTCCCACCACCACTATTTTCATTCTCACAACAACCAGTATTTAAATTATATTTTTTTATTCTATTTTTGTAATTTAATTTTAGGTGTGAATATAAATATATTTATTTTTGACATTTTTTTTATTATTTTGTCCCTTCAGATACAGGCAATAATTAGTAAATATTATAAGTTAGCTTAAATAGTCTCTCAATCCCGATAAAAAANTATATATATATATATATATATATATATATATATATATATATATGTCTCTATGTGTGTGTATATATATATTGGGAACCGCTCCACCACTATCGCCCCTACAGTCCCACCACCATCACCGTCGCCACCCCCATCACCACCTGTGCCACAACAACCACCACCTCCACCACTGTCGTTGCCACTAACACCGTCGTTGCCGCCACTCTATCACCACCATCACCAACACTACCACTGTCACTATCGCCGTTATCACCGTCGTCATTACCACCACCACCCCCCACCGTCGTCGCTGCCCCACCACCATCGCCACCTACCACCGATTGTTATTATTATTATCCACCGCCACTACCCATAACAATTTTCATCTCATTCTTATTTTTATTATCATTATCACTGTCGTCTATCATTAACACCCACCCACTACCATTGTTGCTCATCATCACCCATCGCTGCCCACTATCACCACCCATCATTGCCCATCATCNAAAAAGAAAAAGCACAGCCCAACGAATTAACAATTTCCAAACATGGATCTACACATTCGGTTCATGCCCAAAGCACATGGGTCAAAAACCTTTGGACAAACTTGTGAAGAATATGACAAACTACTGAATATTTAATTAAAAAAAAGAAAAGAAAAAGAGCAATGGCCACATGAGATCATTGAAGAAATTTAATTATTACTCACAAAAAGCAAAGCTGGGAAGACACATAGTACTTTGATGGTTTTTAATGGCTGAGAGACAAGGAATCAACAAAATATCTACATATGCACCGCACGCTTACGCTCTTTAAATTATTATATTAATAGGTCTAATTAAATTTATTAAATATTTAATAATTAGGATCCTATCACATCACGTGATGTAGGTGAGGTCAGGGCCGGCCCTATGGCTAGGCAATTGAAGTCGCCTAAGGCTCCATATTTTTTAGGGCCCCAATTATCATAAAGTTATATTTATTTAAATTTAAATTAATTTTATTAATAGCTTCTTTTGATTGCCATGACAGCATAAACATTAATAAAGTATCTAAAATTGAATTTCAAATCCACTCTCTTACTATTTTATTGACTATTAGTTTTTAAATAAATTTTATAAATTTAAATGATATACTATAAAGAATTTGAATACATAAATTTAAATAATAAGTTGACATCTTAAATAACAAGAATTTTATTTTTAAATAAATATATTTTAATAAAAATTTTAAAAATTTATATATTATCATAATAATCATAATAAATGGGGCATCATCCAAAATTTTCCCCTAGGGCCTTCGTTTGGCTCGGGCTGCCCTAGGTGAGGTGGTGTCTATATATATCTTTATTGATAGATTAATTATTCGTTTGGTATGATAGAAAAATAAAAGGATAAAAAATTAGAGGAATAAATAAAACATCATGTTTAGTGAGGAAGGGAAATATGAATTGGAGTAAACTTATCATCTTTTGAAATGATATTTTTGTGCAATTATAATATTTTAAAGTAAATTTATCACTTTTTAAAAAGAACTTATCCCCAACTTTAGGGTGATAATATAATTTTTTTTGAATGAAATTATCACTTTTTAAGGTGATATTATCATTGTTTTTAAGCAACTGAAAAAAAAAAAAAAAAGATGTATAAATTGGTCCAGCTGACCAAATCAGAATATTTTAGTAATGAGTGATGTTTTTGATTGTGTAATCCCACGTGATTAAGGGAGTTAATAGAAGTTGAAACAGGGTTCAACAATTTATTTGATACCACGTCATCACTTACGATTTAATCTACCACAGTTTACGGTAGCTGATCCTCTACTGTTCAACAAGACGACAACGTTTTTGTGAGCTATGACACCACCAATTAGTTTTTTTAGTACAATATTTTAGTTTTTTTAATAAAAAAAGATGTGACGCGTTCAAATCTATATTGAGAAATTAGTTGTAATACATCTTCACCATCTTTCTACGCGCTTACGCTTCTCACACCATTAGATTAATAAGTCTCGATTAAATTTATTAAATATTTAATAATCGGGACAGTACCACATCATGTGGTGCAGGTGAGGTGGTGTGTATATATATCATTACTGATTGATTGATTAAATATATATAGTATGATTCCTTAAAACCTTCAAATTACCAATCTCTAACAAATTAATTTGTATCTTCTTCAAGGCATCAATCACCATCTTTGAATCTCCTTCAACATGACTCATNCCCTGAATGAATTCCAATAAAAAAGTTCAAAAATACTAAATTTAACTTGGCAACTGGACATATATAAACACTATCGGTTAAAGATATACAACATAGTATAAAGCACACTAAATGAATACAAACAATTCTCTAGAGAGTAGCTCAAAAACATTTGGGGTACACAAAAGAAAAAGCACAGCCCAACGAATTAACAATTTCCAAACATGGATCTACACATTCGGTTCATGCCCAAAGCACATGGGTCAAAAACCTTTGGACAAACTTGTGAAGAATATGACAAACTACTGAATATTTAATTAAAAAAAAGAAAAGAAAAAGAGCAATGGCCACATGAGATCAGTGAAGAAATTTAATTATTACTCACAAAAAGCAAAGCTGGGAAGATACATAGTACTTTGATGGTTTTTTAATGGCTGAGAGACAAGGAATCAACAAAATATGCACCATCTTTTTGCACGCTTACGCTCTTTAAATTATTATATTAATAGGTTTCATTAAATTTATTAAATATTTAATAATTAGGATCGTATCACATCACGTGATGTAGGTGAGGTCAGGGCCGGCCCTATGGCTAGGCAATTGAAGTCGCCTAAGGCTCATATTTTTTAGCGCCCCAATTATCATAAAGTTATATTTATTTAAATTTAAATTGATTTTGTTAATTGCTTCTTTTGATTGCCATGACAGCATAAACATTAATAAAGTGTCTAAAATTGAATTTCAAATCTACTCTCTTACTATTTTATTGACTATTAATTTTTAAATAAATTTTATAAATTTAAATGATATGCTAAAGAATTTGAATACATAAATTTAAATAATAAGTTGACGTCTTTAAATAACAAGAATNCTCATCACATTATCGTCTAAAAGCACCCGTCGTCGTCCACCACCTCCATCGTCACTGCCCCACCATCGTCATGGCCCCCACCACCACTACTACCAACCATCATCACCATCGCCCGCAACTACTATCGCCGTCACTCATAATTGTCACTATCTCCATCATCACCAAAAATCCACCACCAGTATCACCATTGCCACCCCATGACTACCACCATCACCACAGTCGTCGCCACACACCACAACCATAATTGTCTCCCACCACCACTATTTTCATTTTCACTACAACCAGTATTTAAATTATATTTTTTTATTCTATTTTTGTAATTTGATTTTAGGTGTGAATATAAATATATTTATTTTTGACATTTTTTTTATTATTTTGTGCCTT